CCCAGTGTGGGACACCAGAAGCCAGAGGTGGCTGGGCCACAACCAGCCAGAATACACAAATATGTGTTTGAAAAGGGGACCTTGGTCAGTTCTCAACTCACACCTATCAACTGGAACTGCTTATCCTGCAGTTCTAGAATGGAACTGCCAAGAATTTTGCAGTTAGACTAAAGACATCCCTTTCTCTTTTAAGATGTGCCCCAACTTCAGAGCTGTTGAAATGTGAGAGAAGAAAACCTATAGGACTCTCCTAGCATGTGCAAGGCCCTGGAATCCATCCCTAGCACCTCAAAAAAAAAAACAAAAAAAACCCAATTCTGTGCATCTGAGAATTGGTGAATGGGGCGATACACCCAGCCCTTCCCTGCTGAGGTCTGCAGGAGTGGGTTCTGGGGAGCCCCAGAGCATAGAAGGGGGGGGTTGGGCTGCTGGAAGGAGGGGATTAAGTGAATACTTGTGCAATTGAAATCTGATAAAGGATGTCGACAATACCATCCCTTCTTATAATTAAGATGGTAATTTAATTACTGCTATTACAACTGAAGTTGCTCCCCCACTGTGGGTTGCTTTTAGTGGAATACCTTTGGTTCTGCTGTATCCCACACGCAGACCTGGCAGTGTTACATAGACACACAGTCTCCAGACGCCATCTTATAAACCCATCTGGTTTGAAGTAATACAACAAGCAGGAAAGGGAATTGAATCAAAGGCACGATTTGTGTTTTTTGAAATACGGAAAATGTGAGAGGTAGTACCAGGAGGAAGGCCTTATCGGGCCTCACCAGGGCTGGGGGGCAGCCATGCCAGGCCCTGTGGCTGTATCCCACTTGGGCCCACACAGGATGTAGGGGTGGCTCAAGGGGTGAAGGGGGAGGGGCAGGAGGACACAGATGTGTTGACAGAACCTGTCCGAGCCCCTAGAGAAACACACTGCCTCACTGGAACCCACCTGGAGGAAAAGAGGAAACACGGATTTCCCAATGCCCACAGCTCACATGGGATCTCACCACTCAGAGAGAACTTCCCATGCAGTATCACAGAATGGAGGGGAAACTGAGGCACAGAGCATCCAGACACGGGTCACTGCCACCTCTGGCATTATCTCCTGCATCCTAGAAGATACTCCTTGGCCACTGCTTTCCAGCCACCAATGCAAAGCCCTGTTCACTAACCCTGCTTACTCTGCCTGCTCAGCCCTGGCCAGCTGTGGCCACATGGAATTCTCCAGTGGGAGGGCAGCTTTGATCTGCTGCACACCTGGAGCTCAGTGTCTCATCTTCATACTACACCTGTCACCATGGGGTTCCCACACACTCTGGGACCTCCCCAGCTGGAGGGTGCTTCCTGGGGAGCCCCCAAGGGGTCAGAGTCTCAGAGGGGCCAGGGTCTTCTTTCCCTCTAGGCACTTTGAACAGACTCCCCTTGTCCAGTGGCCAAATCCCAGGGCACTCCTGTCTGCACCCCAAATGCTTCCCACCCTGCCTTAGACAAAGACACCATTGCTGAGCAGACAGCCACAGAGGTCACTGGTGAGTTGCATATATGGTCTCATCTTCCCCAACTTACTCAAGAGTTGATCTATTTCCCTGGCTGGCTGTTTACAGTTTTCCAAAGGGTTTTGAGGCACAGATAAGAATCTGGAGTCTGTGAGGTGGCTTTTGGTCTGAGCTTTCATTCTCTGAATCCTGGCACCTAGACACCTGGAGACAGGTTAGGGGAGAGAATACGGCATCTGGACCACTGGGAACTCTGAAGGAAGATGCTAGGTGGTAGGAGGGGGAGTCCAACAGCTGGAGTGCGAGTACGCGAGGAGACGGGGCATAAGATCCCCGACCCCTGTACAACACAGTGCAGCTCTCACAGAAGGGCCCATCAGTAGGGACACAGAGGAACATACCGGGAGAGGAAAGAACAGTCGCTCTTAGTCTATTCACGCCTCTGTGACACTTCACCATAGACCAGGTGGTTTACAAACAATAGGCATCTCTCTCACAGTTTTGGAGGTTCAAGCCAGAGATCAGGGTGACAGCTGTTGAGGGACCTTTCCCAGTTTACAGATAGCCCCATTCTCTGTGTCTCTCTGCAGCAGGAGTCTCTCTGGGGCCTCTTTTTGTGTGTGTGTGGCACTGGGGTTTGAACTCAGGGCTTCATGATTGCTAGGCAGGTGCTCTACACCTTGAGTCACTCCACCAGCCCTGTTTTGTGTTAGATATGATCGAGGTGGGGTCTCGAGAACAATTTGCCCTGACTGGCATCAAACCGCCATCCTCCTGATCGCTGCCTCCCAAGTAACTAGGATTACAGATGTGAGCCACCTGTGCCCAGGTTGGGGCTTCTTTTATAGAGACACTAATCCAGATCACGAGGGCTTCACCCCCATGAGCGAATTGCCTTCCAAAGGCGCTACTTCCTAATACCATCTCCTTGGGGGTAGCGACTGCAACAGCTGAATTGGGAATAACATAAACACCCAGATCAGTAATCACAGAAAGGAAACAGCTAGAAAGCCATTTCATAGGGCAGTCAAGGGCTGTTCAAAGGCAGCTGCCCATGGGACATCAGCTGTACCGGAACAGCAGCCAGGACAGCAAGCAGCCTGATAGTGATTGACAGGTGCTCAGCAGGCACTTGTTTAAGGAAGGAATGAAGGAGGGGTGAGGAAAAAGAGCCTGGACAGGCAAGCCTTACAAACACACCAGGGAGAGGTGCCTGCCAGGAGTGCCCTGCTGCATCCTTCTGTTCACAACAATATCTCAAACTCATCCCTAGGGCACAGGGGAAAAAACCCCCTGCCTTTGGGGGCTGCTACCCCAGGATCTCAGAGTGGGCACACTCTTCTCTGCAGTGGCTGGTATGTGACCTTCAGCAACTGCGCCATCTATTATTTGGAACAGGACCACTGAGGACCTGAATGCTTAATTTTTCTTTTTTCTGGTACAGGGCCTCATGCATGCTAGGCAAGTGCTCTACTACTGAGCTACACGCAAAGCTCTGAATGTTTAATTTTATTCTAAGCTGTTAAATTGTAAGCAGCCTCATGTGGCTAGCGGTGGTCCATTTCAACACCATGGAAGTTCTTTTTTTTTTTTTTCACTTTTGTTCTTTTGTTTTGTTTTGTTTTGTTTGTGGGGTTGAGGTTTGAATTCAGTGATTCATACTTGCAAAGCAGGCACTCTACCACTTGGGCCACACCTCCAGCCCATTTTGCACTGGTTATTTTGGATGAGGGTCTTACAAAGTATTTGCTGGGGCTGGCCTTGAACTGTTGTCCTCCAGAGCTCAGCCTCCCAAATAGCTAGGATTACAGGTGTGAGCCACCACCACTGCCTCAGTTCTCCATTTTTTTTTTTTTTTCGGAGCTGGGGTTTAAATTCAGAGCACTCCACCAACCCTACTTTTGTGATGGGTTTTTGTGAGATAGGTCTCTTGAATTTTCTCCCCAGGTTGAGTTCCAGTGGCCATCCTTCTGACTCTGACTCCTGAGTAGCTAGGATTACTGGCTCAGTTCCTGTGTTGACTGGCCCTCTCAGTTGGGAGCAGGACATCAGTGCAAGGCCTGTGAGCACACACCCAGGGTCCTTGTTTTTTGTGGTGTGTTCCATCCCTATTTACAAACACTAGGCACCGTTATTCATTCAAGGGGCAGCTTCTTGCTTCAGCTTTGAACAACACCAAATCAGAGTTCTCTCTAAAGACAGCTCTTCCCTAGCATTTCTTCCCAGCAACCCCCATCCCCTGCCATACTGAGTGTTGAGAAAGTGTGGAGTGGCTGCATTCCATCCAGGAGAGGGGGAGGACTAAGATTGGCCAGTGCCCTCTACAGGACAAACCCCTGCTGCCAATCCTGCAGACTTGGTGTCCCTGGCTCCCAGAAGGAGGGTATGGTGCAAATGACAGCCCCAAACAAGAACCCACTGTCACTCGCAGGACTTGGAAATGGGTACCATTGCCCCTAGGACTATGTCCGGAAGCTGCTGGCTACTTAGGCAGATGTTGCAGAAATCTTCAGGCCCTGGTCGTAGATGCCCTTAGAGGCTTTGGGTAGGCCTAGCCACCCCTCCCTTTCTAGACTAGCTTCATGGGAATGTTTCCAGGAACTTCACAGCACCAGGGTGAACACAACCAGAAGCAGGTCCAGTCCAGGGCTACATCTGGACATACTTGGGTGTGCCCTCGTAGAGGTGGCACTCAGGCTGCTACTGCCATGTTGGGAGTGATGAGCCAGGTGGCCTAGGAGGCAATCATTGGCACACACACACTGGTACAGAAAGCTGAGGTTAGAACCTGGTCACGGGCATTTCCCGTTCATCTTGTGTTCAAGTCAGCCTTGACGTTGACCGGCTGTCAGCTTTTCCTGCTCCAACTCAGGAAGGGAGGGATCAAAGGGTTCCTCTGGCCCCATCCCTGGTGTTGAGTTAGTGGGGAGAGGTCCCTCAGCACCTGGCCTGGGAAAAAAGCTTCACAAACTGGGATTCGAGATGACTCATGACCACTGTCATTGTGCCCCCTGTCCAGGTCACTCTGTGAGGACAAGTCACGGGGAATAATGTCAATAAACAGGGGAAAAACGCAGGCCTGGGTTGGGGCCAGGTCAGGGGAATGGTACAGAATTGCCTGTTTTTGTCTTTCCACAATCCCATCCGGGTCAAGGGCTTCTTCTTGTCCCAGGCCGGATGGACAGTGGTCTGTCATGACCATTATTCTCAGCTTGCATGGAAAAGCATGCAGGCAGGGCAAGTGCTGAAAACAGGTCAGGCACAAGCTTACATCTTAGAATAGGAACAACTGCTGATGTGAAGAATTTAAGTTAAAAAAAAAAAAAGGTAACACTGGACTGCCAGCCCTGGGGAAGTGGGACGAAGCAGGCAATAGGGAGGGGACCCCAGGAGGGAAGTGGCCGGCCAGAGAGAGGGAGGGAGGCGACCAGAGAGAGAATTGGGGTGGGGGGAGAAAAGTAAGAGGGGGCGGGAGAGGAACGAGGAGGAGGCGGGGCAGGCGCTGCACGGACCCCATTCCAGGCGCAGAGGAGTGGGGCTGGGGAAAGAAACGTTAAGTCCCCGAGTCGCACTGAACTCGCTCTCTCCGAGCTCCCCGGCGCGATCTAAGTGGACGCAAAAACAACAACAACAACAACAACAACAAAACTGGACACACAGGCAGCTTCCAAAAGAGGCGAAACCGTTTATCAAGTCGGCGCCGGCGCGGTATCTACAGTATCTACACATATCTACACGTATCTACACCGCCTGCAGGCGGGCTCTCTCTCGGTCGTCTACACTGCAAGTGCCGGCCGGGCCGGAGGCGACGCAGTCTCAGGGAGAACAATAAATACCACTTCCTTCCGCCTCGGATCGGGCGCTTTGGCACGGGCGGGCCGGGCCCCCCGCGGTCCTTGGGGCTTGGGAGGAACCCGCGTTGACTTGGGGTGGGGCTGGAGGACTCCAATGGCTTCAAGGCTAGAGAAGGGAAGACCCCACGATGGCCCCTGGTGTGGGGAGGACCTGTCCTCTGATGGCCCTTGGGGCCGGGTGGACGGGGCCCCGCAGGCCCTCGGGGCTGCGCGGGGCACTGGGGCCCGGGCGGCGAGCGCGGCGGCGGCCCGCATTATCTGGGGCAGTAGTCGTAGGAGCCGGGCGCGGCCCCGGCTGACGAGTACATGTTGGCCGCGGCTGCGGCGGCGGCGGCGGCGGCAGCGGCGGCGGCGGCCGGGCTCACGGCGGGGTGGTGGTGGTGCGGGTGCGGGTGCGCGTGCGGGTGGTAGCCGTGGCCGCGCAGGCCGGGCAGCGGGTAGGGCGCCGGCCGGCTCTTGGCCCCAAGGTAGTGGTCGTAGGCGGCGGCCGGGTACTTGTAGGGGTGATGGTGCAGCGGCTCCGATGCGCCGGGCGCCTCCAGCCGCAGCTCGGGGTGCGGGGGACTGGGCCTACCTCCGGCCGCGCCGGGCAGCGGGACGAGGCCGCCGGCGCCGCCAGCCCCGGGCAGCGCGGGGCTCAGCACCCGCGCCAGCAGCTGCGGCGGGTGCGCGGGGTCGCCGAGCATGGCTGGCCCGCCTGCGTCGCGTTCGAATTCTCGCCGGGCGTCGGCCACGTCTGCGGGGAGAGCCGAGGGGTGAGCGCGGCCGGCCGGCACCGCCGAGGTGACTCGAAGAAGGGCGCTGGCAAGGAAGCTCGAGGCTGCGATGGGGCGATGGGGCGATTGGGCGATGGATGATGGGGCGATTGGGCGATGGATGGGGCGATAGGGAGGGGGGAGTCCCCGCCTCTACTCTGCGGACCTGGCGAGACCCAGCGCCGCCGGCGTCCCCAGCCCACCCCGACGGCCCGCGCCCCTCGCCCCTCGCGGGGCGACAGCGGCGGGCGGGGCGCGAAGGCGGGGCGCAGCCGTCGGGCGGGCGAGTGCGCGCTTGCCCGCCGCCACGGCCGTTGTGCAACCGGCGCGAAGGCCGCGAGCGCCCCGGGGGTGCAGGCGAGGCCGGGCGCGGCCGCCGACCCGGGGCGGAGAGCGCGCGGGGCCGCGGTGCGGATCCCACGACCCGGATCCTACCTTTCTCCGCGCCGTTGGGCTGAGTTGGAGAGGCCACAGGGTTGCGCGAGCGCGCAAAGGCACTCATAAGCGGCAGTGCGCCAGGCCGATGATTCCTTGGCCTGCGAGAGGGTGGTGGGTCAGAGCGGCGTCCCGGCCAGGTGCTGGGGGCACTCGATCTCTCCAAAGGATACTCACCAGTCCTCAGGGTCGCAGTCCCGGAAGCCTTTGGCGAAGGGGTTGCTGGCAATCTTGAGCTGCGTGATCTGCAGGGAAGCGGGCGTGAGCAAGAGGCTAGAGCCTTGAAGCCCGATGCCACCCGACCAAGGCAGCAGCGAATTGGGGAAGAGTTATAAGAGACTTGGCAAGGCAGGCCCCTCTGCGCTGCTCGAACAAGAACCAGCCCACATCTGCCCCCCGACCCACGGACCTTGTGCCTCCTTCTAGCTCTTTTCCTCCCCAAATAAATGGGGATGAAGACCTTGTGCCCTGGTTGGAGTGGGAATGTGGTCAACTCCGCCTCCCACAGCGCAGTGGGGAGAACAGAGCGGACGCCCTAGGAATCTGGGTAAACCTCAGATCAGGCCCCTGATGGGGAGTTTCCGGAATGGTTTGGAAAACAAACTTTCAGGCTACAGTGACAGTCCTGCTGCAGAGGTCAAGCTGATAGGAGGCTGGGACAGCCTGCCAGAGGCAGGGGGCAGCTTGAGGCCCTGGGGAGGGGGGATTTCAGTTGCATTATGCTCCACCAGGATCCACAGCCGGAGGGTTCATGCCGTCCCTGCCCAAGGCAGCGATGAACTGTCGCACCCTATTTCCACAAGTGTGCCTGTCCCGAGGATCTCCCGCCAGGTCCTCCTCACCCGGTGGTTCTGGTAGGCAGTGACAGCGGTGAAGCGGGTCTCCTCAAACACGAAGGTTTTGAAGTTCTCTTCTGCGTATTTCTCGCTATCTTTGCGCGGGTCCACGTACACGACGTGGAAGCGGGGCTGGTATCTATGCATGGAGTTGAGAATAATCTAGAAGACAAGGTGGGCGATCAACTCCAGCTGTGAGGCTGGGCTGGGAGGGGTGGAGGATCCCAGCTGGAGCCAGGAAACAGGCAGAGATCTGAGTAGGCAATGAATTTTCTTAGATAATTTGAGCAAAACCCTTAATTCCTGAGGTGACGCCAGGTCATGTGACCTACTTGGGACTCGGGGAAAGATGCTCCAAATGGCAAATGATGAGGTGCAAATGCTCTTTCCTTAGGTCCCCAACAATTGCTGGGAGCCTCCAGGGGCGGTCACTGTGGAGCTCAGCCCAGCAACCTCACAGCCCAGGATTCTACAAGCAATCTGCTCCCCTCCCCAAGCACGGACCCTATTCTTTCCTATTAAAAGTCCTCCAGCATAAACTCTGAAGTAGAATGAGAAAAGGAAGGTAACCCCCTCTCCCAGGCCTGCCCCCTGACTATAGGCCCTTTCTCTGCAGCCTGTCCTGGAGCCATCCGAGCTCTGCCAGGTCTGTCTCTAGTGGTGGGTACTCCCGAGGACCTGGATAGCCCGGGAGGCCGAGAAGGGGGTCGCTCACATGGCCATTGTCATCCAGCAGGTTGTTGGTCAGCTTGAGTTTATCGAAGGACACAATTTGCTTCATCCACTGTGCGCCCTTGGCTGGTGAGTCGGGGTGGTAGTGCACCCGGCCAGGCGTGGCAGGGTCTGCTTTGCCAGCCACCAGCCAGGAAGAGCTGTGGAATGCATACCTAGGGCAAGCAGGGGAAGGGGTCATGCAGTATTGGGGTGAACCAAGAGGGCCTCACCCCATGTGCCGAGTGAATCCTGAAAGTATCTCGGAGGACTTTCCTCGCTAGTGAAATCAAGCCCTCCAAAGTCACATGGGCTGGAAGCTTTTAACGAGGGGGTTGTGGAAAAACCAGAAAACTCCAATGCATCCCCGACACACAAAAATGAGCACGGAACTGGGTCCTACTGGGACACTGAACGAGGAGGCTGCGCTCCTCTCCTTTCCTCATTTCGCCGCACACGGGTCTGCCCACCCCAGTGTCGACGTGGCAGGAGCCCGGATTTGCCCTCGCTGGTTGCACTGGGCACAGGGCAGTCCAGTCCACATTCGCTTTATTAATTGTTGTTAATTGTCTTAGCAGCCGCGGCCCGCCCTGCATAATCTCTCCCGGCTACCCCACCTTTCCGGCACAGCTCAGGGACCGAGGGTTCCCTGGAGATGGGGGAAGGGGACAAGGCACTCAAGTTTGCCTCCCAGGAGAGGGAGAAAGGAGTTAAATGGGAGGGCTGTATGCTTGGGCTACCCTCCTCAGGCCACTCCAGCCCAAGGGCATCAGAGCTGCCTCACGCCTAAAGCTAGAGAGGTTCCCAGCTGAGACTTCCAGAGGCAGGTTCTGGAGACCGGATGGGGTAGAGATATGGGGTCCGATGGGGCAGGGAAGGGTGCAGGTTGAGGTCAGTGGGGCAGCCAGCAAAGGTACCTGGGAGGATCCAGTCACTAAAGAGCTTCATGACACGAGAGTCACCAGGCAGGGACTTACTGCTTCCTAGGGTGCCCTCCTAGGTCGGTGCCCACGCACAGCCTGACCAAGTGGTGGTAAGAACTTGCTCACCGGTAGCGCTTGTCATCCACTGGTACGAAGTCCATGAGTAGCATGTAGTCGGCCATAGGATCCATGCCGAACAGCTTCACTTGGAACGTGGGGAACATTCGCCTGGAGGTGTTGGGGCCTTGGGTCACCTCAGGTGGGGGAGGGCAGGGCTGCCCGACTTTGACTACCCTGGGGACTGGCAGCCCCTCACTTGGCTGCTCCTTTTGGTCTCCCCCTGGGCCGCTGTGTTCAGCCCAGTTCTTTGGTCTCATCTGCTCTCACTCAGCTGCTCTAACCTAAGTAGGCCCCAACCCAGCCCCGGGCAAGTGGAGTGGCAGGCCAGGCCCCAGGTCCTTTTCTGAAACACAAAATGGTTAAGGCACCAAGCCTTGGGAGTCCCAACCTTCTTCTGCCACGTTTGTTGGCATAGACACAGCTTTGCCCTGCATGTGAATGTCTTAGCTTCTCAAACCTAGCCTCAGCCGGTAGCAAGGCAACTAAAATGAGTTCACAGGCTTCTCTGACCTCCGCAGCACTCCCCAGCTTCATCTAAGCGGTTCCCGGCTCCAACAAAGTGAAACCGAGAAGCTGGGAAATTCTGAGGAGTCCCTATTGCTCTTTCAGCAGGGTTTGCAACTGTTCCCCAGACCCTCCAGTGAGGCTGACACCTCAGAGCCCCAATTCCCAACTCTCAGACCCTGATCCTGGCTGGAGTCTCCCCAGGTTCCACGGCACACAGGCATGTTTCTGCTTCCCCCAAGACACATAACCCTAAGACACACAGCTGCCCAGGGAGGTCTTATGCCTTCTTAGTTCCCCAATCTCCTCTCCTCTGGACCCCGACTCAGTAAGACTCAGTGACCCATCAGGGCTCTTGAAACAGGGACATTGTGCAGCTCCTGGATGGGCTGTAGGCCACCCTGGCTGGGCCCTGGAGGACAGCACCCACAGCTCGGCCCTCTCTTTGCATTCCCCTCACAGGCAAAGCACTGCAGACAGTGGGCAGAAAACACACGCCTGCCAGGACCAGGACAGGCCTCCTGCCACCTCTAACCTGAAGCCCCTACAGGCTTTACCTCTAGGGTAAAGCTGGCTGCCAACAGTGCTCTGCTAGGTGGGCCAGACGGGGAGGCCCAGCCCCTGTTTTCTGGAGGCCACTGTGCCTAAGGACAGCAAAGAGCCTAGAGAAAATCCACAGAGTGGGAGCAGAGGACAGGCCTCGGGTTCTCCCAGAGAGGACAGCGCGGCAGGGAAACAGAAACCGCGACAAGGGTTTGCAAACAGGCCCTGAGTTCCCCTTGGCTGTGTGGCCACAGAGCTGGTGTGTACATTAGGCACAGCCCAGCACCCTCCTTTGTCTGCTGGTCAAATCGAGAGCATCTGCAAAACTTGTTCCCCTTCTCTCTCAGCCCTTAAAACAAATACAGGCCAATTGGAAGGCGGCCGCCTCACTTGCTCATAGCTGGGTTCACAACCACCCGAAATTGAGGCCTGAGAAAACCGGGTAATGAGTTCCACCGAACTTAGCACACTTTTTCAGGGTCTTAGTTCTCTCTCCTAAAAATCATCCAAGCAATCGCTCGGTTTCAGCTCTTTATCTTTCATCACGGACTGAACTCGGGAAGCCAGGAGTTTCGTTTGAGGTAGGACCCATTGTCAACCCGCCGGGCGGCCAGGCCCCTCGCTTGCCTTGCGGGTTGCACGCTCCTAAGCCCAGTGCGCTCCTAGCCCGCTGCTTTCCCTTTCGGGGCGGCCTGTCCCGGGACTTCTCTCCGCCGCCTGCGCCGTCCCCTCCCGCTTGGCGCTCTCGGCGGCTGTCGCCCGAGCCGGGACCGTAGAGAGCAAAGAAGGCAGCAAGGCCCAAAGGAGCCCGCAGGTGGCCAGGCCGCGCCCCCCACCCCGCTTCTCAGCCCCACTCTGGCGCATCGGACCCGGGCGCGCAACCCAAGAGTGGCAGCACGTGGGGAGGGTCGCGGCGCGCGGAAGGGGCACCCTGACCTGCCGGCCTTGGTGACGATCATCTCGGTGCCCAGCTGATTGAACTCGTCCCACAGCGCCTTCATCTCCAGCTGCACGCTCACGCTGGCCACCTTCGCGTTCTTCTTCACCGGCGCCTTGGCGGCCGCCGCGCAGCTGGCCCCAGGGCCCTCGGGTTCCGCGGCGGAGCTGGTGGCGGCCCCGGCGGCCGGCGCGAACGGGTAGGCGTGCGGCGGCGGCGGGCCCGGGGCGCCGGGGGTGGCGGCGGCGGCGCACGGGTCGTAGCGCGGCGGCTGGGGCTCGCGCGGGCCGTACGGGTCGGCGCCGGGCGACGCGGCGCCCGGGAAGCCCCCGCGGCCCCCAGGCTGCTCAGGCTGCTGGCCGTGAAGGCTGCAACGTCGCAGAAGTGCGAGAGCTGCGTGAGCCACGGGCTGGACACGGCGGAGATCATGACCCGAGGGCCGCCCCCGCCGCCGCCGCCGAGGTGAGCGCTGTCCCGCGCCGCGGGCCGAGTGGCGGGCGCTGCGCTGCACGCGCCCCGGGCCGCGCCGCCCTGCACCGCGGGCCGGCCCCGAGGAGGCGCCCCGCCCCGCCCCGCCCCGCGCCCCCCTCCCGCGCCGAGACAATGGCCTCGCTCCCCTCCCCCGCCCCCCGCCCCTCGCCCCTCCCCCGCTCCTTCCCCCTCCCCGGCCCCCAGCCCGCCCGCCGCGGCTCGCTCGGCCCGGGGGCCCCCCGACCGCCCGGACCGGCTCCCCGGAGCGGCGGGCCCGTCCGCGGTCCCTGCTCTGCGCCCTCCCGCGTTGTAGTTCTCCTTTCTCTATTCCAGACTTTCTTCTCCCGATTTCTTTCTTTACCTTTATTTTTCTCATTTAAATGTTTCCTCCTGATCATCATTCCGTCTTCCAATATCTCTTTAGTTTTTCCCTACTTATGTTTAATTCTGCCTCTTCCTTTTTTTTCTATGCCTCTCTCCTTTTTTCCACCTTATTTTCGTCACTCTTTGTTTTTCCGTCTACCCTTTTGCCCTTATTTCTGTGTATTATCTGTTACTCATGTTTTTTTCCTTCTTTTCTCCTGCTCTTTATTTTTAGTAAGTTTAACTGTCTTCAAGTTTTCTTTCATTTTTTTCTCTTTCGTTCTTGTGGTCTTCATTTCTTTTTTCGTGTCTTTTTTTTTCCTTTCCTACCGTCTTGTCATGTTTTCTCTTTCAATTTTTTTCCTCTTGGCTGCCCTCATCTTTTTGTTGTTATTTGGTTTTAGTTTTTGTTTTCTTTCTCCTTTTTCTGTGTTCCCTGACTCTCCTTCAGTCTCTTACCATCTGTCATTCTTCCCACCTCTTCAAGCTCACAGGCAACTCTGCTCTCCCTCCCGGCTTCCACTCACCCTCAAGCAGGACTGTCTAGGTGCGTGCCATTCTCCGAGGCTGGGCCCCCAGGCTGATGGGTGGACAGGCATTGGGGAGATACCCGCCTTTTCTCTCTGCTCCAGAGTCCCAGCTTTGAGGCTGGAGTCCACCCGGCTGGGAGTTCCCTCACGGCAGCCTAGCGAGGCAGGGGGCTGGTGGGCGGCCGGTGTAGACGCGGCCAAGAGGCTCACCTTCCATGTCCCTGGTGACCGTGCTGAAGTGCATCCCGGCCGGGGATCCTGGTAGCCGGAGAAGTTTCGCCCGATCGGAGGGCCCGGGGCCCAGGTGGGCGGTGCCCTCCGAGGCCTTGGCTGCAACAAGAGAGGCGATGCTGAACGCGCTGGCCCGGGGAGACAGCGGGCTCCGCGCGTCCATAGGCGCCCGGCGGCCTGGCCGGCGCCGCCTCCGACTGCGTGCGCCCAGCCGCGCAGCGCCCAGCCCAGCCCACGGGCCGGGGGCGGGATCCTATAGTGCCACTCACAGTCTTGGTCCCCAGGCCCAGGGGATTATGGGGTCATGGGCCCCTCATTTGGAGTTAGTATCGGCCCAGGAACCCGAACGGATGGAGCGCCCTGGAAGTTCAGGACCCTCCTGCTTTCCAAGGTCTCTGCCCTTAGCCTCCACTCTCGGGGGCCCTCCGTGACCAACGCCCCTTAACATCCCGCTGCTCCTGCGGAGGTCGGGCCTCCCTCTGTTCAGCGAAGCCACCATCAGCTTCTAGAGCCCCAGAAGAGAGGTCGCTATGTCGCGAGCACCCGGCCCCAGCCTGAGGTGGCATAGCACCAGTGAAGCACCGAGGGTCTGCTTGTGCCCAGTCCTGTTCCTGCCTTTGCCCCCTACAGCCTCTATCTCTTCCCCAGCTGCCCCTGCACCTGGGTGAGAAAGCAGCTCCGACTCCCACGCTGGCCACGGGTGGATAGCCCCAGGGCTGCTGAGTCTTCCTCTCCTCGGCGCCGCGGGACAGGACCTAGCCCAGCAAATGCCCCACAGACCTTTTAGGTCAGCTTGCTGTCGTGGCTGGGGACCCGAGCTGGGGGGGGGACGCCGCCCAGGCCGCGCAGCCCGGGAGCCCCAGCGTCACGCGCACCCGCGCGCACCGCCCGCCTCTGGCCAGGACGCTTTTACATCCGGAGGGTGGGCAGTGCCCGCTCCTCCGACCTCCCTGCGCACCGGCGGGGCGCAGGGAGGGCCAGGGGCGGGGCCTGGCCGGCCGAGGGAGCTGAGGACACGTCGGAGAAATTCAGGCCTCATGGTCATGGTCGGGTGCTGCCCCCTCACCACCCTGCAGGCAGCCTGGCCGGCCGGGCAGGCCCTGCTGCCTAGGTGCAGTACCAGGCCCTTAGCCTTGGGCCTCTAGGATTAGACACCCCCACGCTAAGGCCTGTGTCTTCTCCCTACCTCCTGTCTCTGGGGCCTCTTTTGACCAGTTCAGTGTGTCCGTGGCCTTTCTGTCCAGGGCCTCTTTGGGTGGGTGTGAAGCCTGCAGCCTCCCAGCGTCCAAGGAGCCTTACTGACCCTGTGCTAAGGCACTGGCAGTCCAGGGTCTGGGTTTCCAAGGCCTTTCTGCTTATGACCTTGTAGGCCTTCTTGCTGTACTTGCTTAGGATGGGGGTGGCAGGCAGGCAGCCTCTCCCAGGGCTTTTTACAGTCTCAGGCCTCACACCCTGGGGCTGTAGAAGAAGATCCTGGAAACTGGGGACCAGGGAAATAGGCTCTAGTGAGAAGGGACTGGTGCTCACTTGAGGTCCAGGAAGGTGTATGAGAGCAGGAGGAGGAGGGTGTAGATGGTGCTGGGTGTTGGGGTTTTGTGTGTGTAACTGTGTGTACTGTGAGGCCCTTGGCTTGTCCCCAACCTGCATCTGGAGGCTTGTGGACCGTGTCCGGAAAGGGAAGCTGTCACCAGGGCATTTTTTTGGTCCCTGAGTGGCCATTCAGAGCTGATGGTGACAGTGACCTGTGTCACTCAGTGACTTCCAACTGAGGAGGGCAAGAGGCAGGTGTAAGGAGTGGAGGGCTGGGATTTAGCCAGGCTCCAGGACCCTTTTCCTTCTCCCTGAGCAGGGCCAGCCCATTGCCTCATGAGTCCCAGGAGGTCCTGCCCCAGGTGGAAGGGAGATCCCACTCTCAGGCAGGTGGGTAGGGGTGTTGGTGGGTGCAGGTCATGACAGTGATGCAGATGTGCCCAGCACTGGAAGTCTGTGTCCAGGGAGGCCCTGCAGGCTATGAGTGAGTCCCTGTGTGGGGTCATGGAAGCCAGGCTCCTGCAAGTGGTTTTGTATTACTTGGGACACACAATGTCCCAGCAATGCGATTCTGAGTTTGCATCCTATGCACCTGAGAGCCTTGCCAGTGTGCACACACCTGAGGGCCTCAGCTAGATGCTGAGCCTGTGCAGGAGACCACGGGGAAGGAAAGAAGAAGTGAAAGTGAAAACCCCCTGGGGGAGTGAGTTAGCCCCTTAGGGCGCTGTCCTGAGGTTCCTAGACCTCCACTCCTGAAGTAGTGGGGAAAGCAGCTCTTCTAGCTCCCCAGTTAACCCCTTCGCCCCATGGCGGTACTTGTGGGGTGGAGCTGGGTGGGCAAAAGGTGCCACACAAAGACGGGGCAGAGTAGAGGAAACCCCGGCGGCCAGAGGAGTGCAGGGAACGGGTGAGGGACCCCTCGGCCCACTCTGTCAGTGGCCGACCCGCTCCACCCGCCGAGGATACTCACTCGATCGCGAAACCCCCAACCCTAAAGTTCAACGCTGGGACCCTTTGGAAGCCGTTGGCTCCGAAGGTTCCCAAGCCCTGGAAACGCGAGGTCGGCCCGAGGGAGCCCCTAATCCGGGACTGAGCCTCCAGCACCCACAGGGCAGGACTTCTGGGATCCTCCCTCCCTCGCTCCAGCGCCCCACCGCCTTCTCTAGGGGCGCTTGGACGCGTTCCGCTGCCGCCGGGCCACTGGCCGCGCTCCTCGCCGCCCCACAACCCGTGTCCGCCCGCAGCCCGGAGACAGCGCACCCACCCGGGGGCCCTGTGCCCCGCACATGCCGGTTCCGCAAACGAACGAACGAACGCGGCACCGCGATCGCGGGAAGTGTTGTTCCCTCACCTGGACCGGCTGCGGCTCCCTTCCGCCTCGCTCCCCCTGCCGGCCGCGCCTCCACTGCGGTGAGGTAGGAGACCTGGCTGGGAGCCGGCGTTGTGCGGACCAGGAGAGTGAAGCCCGGGTGGGGATCGTGAACTGCACCGGGTCTGACACCTTAGGGTGCGGTGCACACTTAGGGACTGGGCTGCGCGGTCAGCTCCTCCCTGTGCCACGAAGACTGAGGGGACTCTCATTTCTCCAAGCCAGGGGCAGGGAGGTGAGGGTTCTGATGAGCCCATTTTATAGGCCCTAAAACCGAGGCTGGCTTTGAGACTGGCAGCCGGTAGGCAAGGGGTGAGAACCAGAAGCTTGGGTGAGAATGTAAGGATGGAGGGGTGGGGAGGGGTTGAGGACTCTGGGCAGCCTTTGTCTTGCTCTCTGGGCCCTGAGCAGCATCCGAAATGGTCGCTGGGCTGCACCCCAGCACTGCCCGTGGAGTCCGATGTACCCCGACTCACTCACCCCTTGGCCCGGCATCTTCAGAGCTGAACGTGGAGCAAACCTAATTTCTGAAGTTTTCTCCCCAGTGCGCAGGAGGCGGCCCCTAGAGAATCTTGGCTGCTCCAGTGCCTGCCCAGCTCCGCCTCCCCTGGGCACACGTGGCTCCCCCAGGGGAGCCGCCAGATAGGCCCCTCACGCCCACCGCCCCGCTCCTCACTTCCCGTCCTTTGTAAAGACGCAGCGCCACCGTGTCCACCGCTCACAATTCACTCTGCACGGCTGAGTTCCCAGCCCTGGAAGATCCCGCACAGCTTCATGTGTCTTGGAAGGGCTCCACGACCCACGGTTCCCCGGCAAGGTGTGCAGGACCAAGCGGGTCCCCAGCGTTGGCTTCAGGTCGCTTGGAGCAAATAGGCACACAGATGGGTCCGCGTGGGCAGCCCATAGGTCCTGTACTGGGAGTGGCATCCGGGAGTGCGGGGTGGGGGCACTGGGATCCCTTCTCCAGAAATCTGAGCAAGGAGGGGTAAAATCAGGCTATGTCCGTCCAGGCGCCTAGAGAAGTACCGGGAGGGGTCAGGCTTTATGTGACCAGGTTAATTCGTTTCAGGATTGATAGCCGGGAGTTGCCTCCAGCGCCTGCCTGGAGGTGGCCTCAGCGTCTCCAAGAAAGCCGGTTGCCACTCCAGGCGCACCCAGAGCGCGGCCTCTCTGTGCTGTCAGCGGCTCCGCCCCAGGCTCCAGCCACCACCGGTGACCCACCGAATTTCAGGGAGATGGGCGGGCAGCGGGGAGGGGGTCGACCTTCGCCTGAGACGGGAGAGGCTCGGAGGAAGGGTCTATCCTCTTTTTCTGGCTCCCATCCCCACTGGTGGCGACTCTGCAGTGACCGCAGCCCCTTGGACACACGCTTCATCGTCCCTTCTCAGCGGTGAAGGCCGCGGATGCGAGCAGTGAAAACGCACATTGCACTGGACTGCTTGGCTGTGGTCTTTCTCCCATCTTTGGTCCCTGGAAGCCAAGTGGGGCAGAACGGGACTGAGGAGCAGGGGCTGGCAACACTGGCTTTGCGTCAAAACTGGGGTCGCATATTCCTCCTTGCATTTGCACGTGGCACCGTTGGAGCAATCACTATATGTGATCTGTGGTGGGTCTGCAGACCCTCCAGCCAGTGGAGAGCCAGAAGTGGCAGCTGGGGGACTCTGGGTGTGGTGGAGCTGGAGCCAGAACAGGGACCAGGCACAGGACAAAGGAGTGGCTTTGCGGGGCAGGAGTGGTTTCTCTGCCTGTCTCAGTGGCAGTGCACTTTCCTTCTTCTGCCATGGTGTCTTGTGCTGCCTCCACAGGAGACACTGCCTGGTGAGGTTGGAGAAGGAAGCAACTGTCTATCCCAAACTGGAGCACCCTGGAATCTCTATCAGACTGGTGCCCTCCACTGCCTCTCAGCCCTCTCCACTCTGAGCAGCGTCACCCCTCTACTGAAATGAAGTCCTACCAAGCTTACCTCAGGTGTCCTCTTTGGTGTGAGCATTGTGGGGTGTGACCACTGTGGGGTGTGATAGACAACAGGCAAGTCTCTTACTTGATAACACCTTCCAGCCCACACTGGTGTTCACAGGAGCGGGACCAAGCGCTCTAATATGTCTGGGTGGTCCAAGCAGACATACCTGACCAGAATCTTGGCAAATGCCAGGGAGTTAGGAGCAGCCTAGGAGGATAATAAGAGGAGGATGCTAAGTGAGCTGATGTGTGGCTTGTTCCCCTTCTGGGACTCTTCTGGGTCCTGGAGTCACCTGCTTCCTGACTCAGGGCAGGGCCTGACCCATTTCAGAGTCCTAGTATCTGAGTTTTGGGCACCTGATGCCTTCAGGATGAGCATAAAGAGAAACGGAAACCCAAGAAAGACAGACATGGAAGGGGGTGACAAGGGTGATAAAAAAGAAGATAGAACAGAAAAGCTCACCTCTGTGACCCCAGCCTCCTCAGAGCTGAAAGGCGACAGCCAGGGTCTGCACAGCCGTGGACAGCTGGCCCATTACCCCCCCAACCCCCCCAGCACACACACACTATGGGTGCTATGTTCTGGGCCAAGTGCCCAGGAGGACAGATGGGGCAAGATCTGGTGAAAAGGATGGTCAGGCCAGATGGGTGATAGCACCCCCTGTCCCCCAACCTCTGGTACACCAGGGCCCCCTGCAGGCTGGAAGTTCCCACAACTCCAGAACAAACAAACAAACAGACAGACTGATGGACAGCTAGGGCCTGGGCCCCCTCTCCAATTTCTGAGCCTGTTGATTTAGCTGCCCACTTGGCGGGAGAACTCTGCCACATGGGGAGCTGGCTGTCCATCTTCTGGTCACAATAGCCCCATCACCCCAGGTGCTATCAGACAGAGGTGAGGTGCAGATCCTCTGGTGGCCTATACTCAGGCTGGAGAGATAGCTGTGGAGGGAGCAGCTGGGGGAAAATAGCCACCTCCCTGCCCCTCTGTGACCACAGCAGAGGGTACCACACTGTCCATGGGGAGAACTATGCTCCCAAAGCCCCTGGAGGTGTGGTGGCTGAGGGTGAGTGTCCA